CGAACATCATTGGAATGCCTTTTATATACTTGTGTCTGACCTTTTTTATTTCCCTTGCTATTCTTAAAATTTCTAGCGTGTCAGTTATGACATGAGTCTCAATAAATATCTAATATTTTCATCAAATAGCACTTTTTTTAAAGCACCTTTCAAAACACTGAAAAAATACTTAAGCATCCGTAATCATCGTTACACATGTGGCAGAAAAGTTACCTGCATCAAAAGCACTGTAAAACTCATAATGTATTTCCTACCAAGAAGAGTTCACAATTAGTAATTTGTAAGACAACTTTAGGTATTTAGGTTTCTTTGCATGAAAAAAGAAAACCTATTTTATATGTATATGAACAGTATAAAGTTGTGAACAATAGAGATTATTGCTACATACATATCTTATCATTTTAACATATTACAGACTCTCAGTTTTCATAGATTTCAAATTTTATGAAAATATCAGTAAAAAACACATAACAGATATTCAACATACAGTTATATTTATTAATTGAATAAACAAATTAATGACACTAGGAGAGTAAGAAAATCTATTTCATGGGCATACTCTACTATTTGAAGGATTTTTTCATGCAAATAAAAATAAATATTCTAAAGTATATCCAATTCCCTCTTACCATAGATTTTGCTTTGCATACAGAATTTATGAGTATGTTCTCCTTTATGTGTCTCAAGATCTGAATCTTACTATGGTAACAATTTTCACCAATTTGTTGAAATTATCTTTAATTTCTAACTCAAAATAAGGTTAAGTCCTCACCCCTCATCAAGGAAAATTATCTTTGTAACACACAAGCGTCTATTATAAAAATACAAGACCAATCAAAAGGCAGAGTTGTAGACCTCATACAACTACAGTTCACTCCAGCACTTGATATTCAAGAACTGTCACAGAAAGCAAGGCTGGAAAGACAGCAAGAGCCAGAGGAACAGAGTGTTTGTTGTGAGATTCTGTATCCTAGGAATTTCAGAAGCTACACTCATAAAATAATATCAATATGGATGCTTATATATGAATTCACAAGAACACCAATAATCATGGATGGGTAAAAGCTCACAAGGCCTCATCTTTTAGAAATACAGGCAAGCAGAAATGTTAAATTAGAAGAAATGATCTTCTACATGGAAGAACACACCAATTAGTTATCCAATACCAAATTGTCAACCCTGAAAACATACATACAAGTAACATCATACAGATTGAGTAGCTTATATACACATACATGCAAACACACACACACACACACACACAAACACATACTACCACCACAACCACTACCACCACCACCAACACAACTACTAATAACAAAAAGTTAATTTTAATCAATCTATCTTATTTACCTCATTTTCTTCCTCCAGGAAAATGCCCTGTATGACAAACTTGTCTTTAAAATACATATTCGAATAACTCACAGACTTCTAAGTACCATTTACCAAGGACCTGTAGGTTAGGACCAATGTTGTGAGAGACGTTTTTTGGTGAGACAACCCAGACAGACTTACACTTTCCCCATGTAAAAAATACATGACAAACTAAAAGAAATTAATAGACACTAAAGTCCAACTTTTCAAATTAATTTCTTTTTATTTTACTTGGTCATGATTTCAATTGCCTATATGAGATAGGTTGAAGGGTAATTTAAAGGAATGGGGATGAACTCAAAATGAATTACACTATTAAAAGCCTACTCCAAAATAGATGACAAATCCCAAATAATACTACTCTGGTGCTCTCTGTTCCATTTGAAAGTATTTTGAAAGTCAGAATATCTTTAACGCAACTCAGTTCAACAGAGTCTCCTCCTGATCACTCAGCTAGTTATGGTCTCCCAGTAGTAATTAACTGCTTACATAACATTGGTAAGGGAACATCATGGATCTTATAAGTTTCAGCTTTTGAAAACATTCCATCTCCTGGACAGAATGTTTCAATTCAGCTGACCCCTGTGGTTGAGTTATGGAATAGCTCGAAGAAGCTGAGGAGGAGAGCAACCTTGTAGAAGGACCAGCAGTCTCAACCTGGAGCCCTGAGATCTCTCAAACACTGGAAGACCAACTAGGCAGCATACACCAGCTAATATGAGTCCTCCAACACATAGACAACTGAGAATTGCTGGGTCTGAGTTTAGTCAGAGAAGATGCACTTAACTCTCAAATAGACTGGAGATGCCAGGGAGTTTAGAGATCTGGTGGGTGGGGCTTGGGAGTAGGAACATCCACATGGAGATAGGGAGGTAGGGAAGAGGTATGGGATGTGGAACAGTCTGAGACTGGATCAGAAAGGAATAAAATTTGGAGTGAAAAACAAGTAAATTAATTAAATTTTTTAAAAAGCAAGACCAAGAGAAAAACAACAACAACCACCTGCAGTGAACTCACTGGTTCTCCAGGGTGGACTTTGGTGAATTCAATTCTTTAGTCTGTCATAAGTTCCTATCTGTGGTGAACAGACATTTTTTCACACTGTCTTAGAAAAATCTGACGCACTATAAGTACTATTGTGATTTTTATAGGAAAGACATGAATAACTTGACTATGCCAGACATTGTGGGCCAGGGAAATGATTCAACTCCAGTCAAGCTTAGTGAACTAGTAAACTTATTAGGGTTAATTATAAGAGGTTGGAAAAAGGCTGATTTACAGGAACATGTGTGATTCAAAGGCAGATGCATAACAAAAAGCCCACCCCACACACTGCCATGACTTCTGAGAGCTGCATTCCAGGAGCTCTGTGCATAACTTGCAAGTAGCTCTGTAGCTCAGAGTCTCCTTCCTCTAGATAGTCTTAGCTATATTCAACATTGTAGAGTATCTTTCTGGGGTTCATGAGTATCAGAAGCAGCAAATGAGTTAGAAGTTCTCTTTCTTTCCTCAGTGTAGATGAGGATCTCTCCTCCCTCCAATAAGAAACTGTTCATTTATTTCTAAGACAGCACTATACAAAAGATACACAAATGAGTACCTATCTCCTAGACACAAATGAGTAAATATATCTCACATATTAAATTTCAAAAGGTTGACACAACACAAAGTTCAAAATCTTTAAGGTGATGGACAATTATTCTGTATTGAGTATCCTAATATAACAGTACACAGTTATATATTCTAAATGCATAATGATTTTAGTTAGTTCTTATTCCAAATATTGGTATGTAATTTTTATCTAAGCAGAAAAGCCATAACACAAATATATTAGAAGACTATACTTATCAGATAATATTTTAATAAAAGTATTTTATTACATTTTGTGTAAAATTTACACACAATTATAATTTCAACGGAATTTTTCCCTATGACCAACTAATATTGGATGTGACAGACTCCAAATGTATGATTATTTTCAATATTATTCTAGTGTAATATCTTTAGTTGATTTGTTGTGGTTTTGAGATTGTATTTGAATTACAAAATTTCTACATTCCCTATTATCTCTCCAAGACCTTGCAAATACCCTTCTCCATTCTCTTCAAATTTTTTTCCTCTTTTTTTCATTGCTTTTTATTGAATGAATCTGTATATATACATACATACATACATATATATATATGTATATATATATATATATGTGTGTGTGTGTGTGTGGGTATGTGTGTGTGGGTATGTGTGTGTGTATGTGTGTGTATGTGTGTCCATGTATTATTTGTGTCCATATAATATTATTTGTGTCCATATAATATACATTTATAAATACATATCCAGATAGTATACTTAAAATATGTATAAATCCATGTTATATATATGGCCCTATAATAATACCTGTTTGTGTATTTTCAGAAGTGACCATTCGACATTATAATTTCAATTGTTGTGCTTTTCCTTGGGGAGGACTTTCTCTCCTTCTCCTGGCTTTATTCAGGCCCATAGATCTTTCTGAACATTTGATGTTTTCCTAGTCCATTTTGACATGTTTGTTGGTGACCCCTTATTCAGCCGACATTTCGATGGTCAGGCTATTGAGTCTTTAAGTATATAGCTTCTGGTGTTACTAAAAGAACATAATGTAAAAGCAAAATCCTTGATCGTTTGACTCTTATGATCTTTCCATCCCGCTTCTGTATTCTTCTCTGAGTCTTAGTTGTTGGACTGCTTTATAGATGAACTCATTTGGAATAGACTTCAAAACTTTGCATTTTGTTTGGTTTTGGTTTTCTGCTGTCATTCTCATCTGTTTTGAAGATTTGTTTTCTTGATGATAGATGAAGGTTACAATTATTTGTGAGTATATTAACAAATGTCCATATACTTTTGTCAGGTATTATGCTGACTTAGTAAATCAGTTGTATATTCTCCTCCAATAACCATGATTTCACTCAGATAGCTAGTGAATAGTTAGGTAAGTTTATGTTAATAGGCATGGTATTCTTCCTGTTAAAAGGGTGTTAAGTACAATTGCAGAAAAATTGATTATGACCGAGATATGTGTGTCACTACTAGACACCAAGGGCTATTATCCAATGATGATCTCTGGATATTGATGAAGTTCATTGGTGTCATAGCGAGATAGGACTATTAGTTGCCTCTGTCTTTTGGACTTTGCACAGTGCCTTCTAATACCATGAATACTAGTCCTCAGGAAGAAACTGGCAGGTCAGTTCCAACTCTGAAGTTACTATACCTATCATACATGGTATCCTTAGAAATGAGGATTTAATTTCATCACTAGTTATTCACCAGTGTCAACAGCAATAGGCTGAATGTTTCAGGAGTCTCTTAAAGAGCCCTGAATAAGACACACTATAGGTTTTATCATCATAGAATGACTCCATTCTTAGTGTCATTTTCCCCATCTAACTCCTCTTACTCCTCTATTTACCTCCCTTTTCACTTTCTAGAATACTCCCCTTTTCCCATTTCCCCTGAGATCACATATATACTGCTAGTTTCTTTATCTTCCTCCTACACTCCTATGTATTACCCTCCCAGCTTGGAAGCCTTGTTTTCCTGATCCCATTGAAGATCTCAAGATTTTACCCAGTGAACTCTGAAATTTATGAGGGACTCATGGTGTCCATATCTTTAGACCGGCAACTCAGACAAGACAGTACAGAAAGAGCGGCTTGTCTCAGCTTACTGTTTCCAAGAATCAGCACAAATGAGTGGCTTATAGGAAAAACTATTCCAGAAATGTGGTCAAATAAAAGTATTAATTTCCCCCCCAAAACCCCAAGGCTCAACATTCCTATTATAATAAAAAGTAAGTATATTGCATACAGCAGTAGGAAAGAGAACCCAATTTGCAAGGCTTTCATGTGGGCCATGGTGCTGGCATCTCTAGGTCGTTTGGCACTGACCTGCATCTTCTTTTGATGCTTCCACAGTGAGTAGATGAGCATGAGAAAAGCTACCAGGGACACTGAGAAGGGTATGAGCATGAACAGGGAGTTGATGGGTAACAAAATATGAGATGAGGTGATGATTAACAAAACTTTGGATGAGTTGGTGAATAAGAAAATTCTGGGAAATTGTGGTGAATCCCACAAACTATAAGACATATTTCCTTCATAAACCTCAATTGATAACTGATCATAGATACCTAAAGATAAGATATTTAAAGGCAAGAAAATCAGTGATACCAGTATTATCATTAAAACCACCTTTTTAACTCTCCACTTTAGGTAGAGAAAAAAAGAGTTAGAAAAATTGGCAATCTTGAGAAAATAAAAGACACCAAGGCATGTAGCAAGCCAGATGCTGAAATGGTTGTTCACTACCCAGATAATGCCCACTGATTTAAGTATTTCTGACCGCATAAAAAAATGTGGGGACAGTATGAATAACAATATACAAATGAGCATATACCACACATAGAGGAGTCTGGCAAAGGCCAAGGCAGCAAGAATCTGATCCACTGAAGAAATCCTTCTTCTCTTGGTCCAGTCCAGGATATTCACTACTGCTATGAATCCATTTCCTAAGATCCCCATTACTACTTCCACAAACAATATGATTGTAAAAATAAAAATATCATAGTCCTTTATTATCTGCGAGAACATGCTTCAATTTATGTTTCTGCTGCATTTAAAAAGCTCCACATATTGGTTGCTAAAAATTCTAAATAATCATGCTTTAAAATCCCATTTACACATTACTGACTAGGAAACAGATAAATTTCCCAGGAATTGTTTCGTAAATTCTTTATGAACCTCTTGGCTTTTTTCTTCCCAAATGAAATCATCTCTGCTTCATCCAGACACAATGTCTTGTATCCAGTTGTCTGAAGTTAAATAAGATTCTGAATTCTCATGTGCAAACCTACAAAAATAAGATAGCTTTTGCATTATTTTGTGTCTGAGCAATAGTAAACTTTAGGAACGTGGTACTTCCTTAGGTAATAACTGATAAATATTTTACTTAAGTAAATTAACACACACACACACACGCACACTCCAGTCTTTGTAGACATTGGTCAAAAATCTTCCTACATAGTACTTAAATTTTCTAATAATCTCTTTGAAGGTCACTGCTGCTATGTTCATGTCACAAAATTTAAACTAGTCATTTTAATTTATAAATCTTCATACGGGCAATCATTCATATACGCAGAAGTCACATATGCACAAACATCTTTTTTATGAGGAATTGTCCCTTTTCTATTTTTCATTCCAATAAATATTCTCACTGATTCAATTATCATTTATGTAGATCTGTCTTGCAAGTGTTCTACATGAAATGTTGTACCTCTAGCAACCTTTTTTTACTTTACCTTGTGAGAAAGTCTCACTGAATTGCTTAGTGTTGCCTTGTTGCCTTAAAGACTCTGTATTCCACAAAACCCTTGAATTTATGATTCTCCCAACTTATCCTTCTAGTTAGGTAGTATTATAAACCTGTTTCCCCAAGGCACAGCTTCTCTCATAGTTTTTTTTTTTTTTAACATTGTTCTAAACAGAATTCCAACTTACCACCACAGATTATTGAGTGTAAATGTTCAGCAATTTTTCAAAATATTACTCCATGTGTAAGAATGAAGTATTTTATGTGGTCTTTGGAGCTATGTTTAAGGTAAATGAGTTCCTCTGCCCAGGAAGAATCTTCTTCACTCTTACCTCTTTCTGTCCACAGGCTGATGCCTTTATTAGCACCAAAGACCTGAGACTTTCTGTCTACCTTTCCTTCCCTACCACTAACATCTTCTCCGTTACCATCACTTTGGACACCAAGACAGATGAACGATGATGCACAATGTGGGCACAATGGGAAATAAAATACATAGTTATAGCCATCCTATTTAAGGAGTTATTAAATGATTGAAGATAATATATTACATACTACCATAGAACAGAAATACAAATATCTTAATTGTCATATGTGGCAGGGAAACTTGGAGAATTTTACTATGAAAAACAGACCTTGTATTCCTTATAGGCCCCTAAAAAAACATACTATCTAAAGACTGTAAGTCCTATATAATTTAAAATTTTATAAGTACAATACAATCAGGAGATAGATATATTGAAAATAAAATCAGGCCAGAATGCACAAAGTTTAAGTCAAAGATAAACCTGGAAACAAACACACCACTAGCACAGAGATAGAATGGTCATTGTTAGGTTTTGTTTTTTTTCAGTATAGTAAAACATCTGAATTAATTTACCTACCAGAAAGAAAATTTTGGTTCAGACTTCCTGAAGTTTCAGCTCTTATCTCTTGGCTCCATTGTTTTGTGGTCTCTGGTATGGCAGAATAGCAAAACACTAGTGGAGCAAAACTGTTTTTGCCATGAAGCAAACAAGTGTAGAGTGAGAGGAAACACCTGTGCACCTAATATTCCCATTCAGGGCATGCCTCTTATGATGTAATTTCCTTCTCTTAAGCTCTTCCTACTTCTTATACGTTCTACATCTTTCTATAAGACATTAGATTAGATACCTGGGCTGTAACTCATGGCCTTCCATGGGCATTTAACATAAATATGTAATGGTTCTTCTGTTATATCTCCTCCAAGTAATAAAAATATGCTTTGAAAGAAATAATGAAAATGCAAGAATAGGGGGAAACTGTGTAGAGTGGAAGTTGATAGCAGAACTTACAGAGTTTTTTAGAAAATGGGCTGAACTGAGTAAAGTCCTGCTATACTCTGTCCTGAGGAACGTGTCATGAGGACCTACAACTACATTCAATTTCACTCTATATGAAACATCTTAGATGTCCACTTGAAATGCCACTCCTGGGTAAGGACAGTCTTTTTCCTACAAAAAAAAAAGAATGACTCAAAGGGTGTGATTTCCATTATTTGCAAAAGTGTATAAAAGCAAGATGGCATTTTAAGAGAGCAGTGTCATTATTTAGAACCAGCATTTTATTAAGAAGCTGAAGTCAACAATTAATTTCAAGTTAGTTGTGTCATTCTTGACAAATTTTATGTACTCACTGTAGCAAACAGTTAATTTGGTGAATCATACATAGTTTTCTGTATACCTGTATACATTGTTCTTTGTTTCTAAAATTATAATCCTTTTTCTATTGATGTATTATAACATATAACCTCTAAACAAGTTCTATTTGAAATCTGTATGATTGAAGAGGAAGAAAAAAGTTATGTTTTCTTTTGTATGGATTTTTAGTAGTGCTGCTTTTAATTTTAATTTGTACTGTTGAAGATAAAAATAGGATGCAATGCAGTGCAAATAATTTCATAAATATACATATATCTAAATACACAGAACCATAATGAGACAAGTGAGGGTAATCACCTTGATGCTTTGTGCACCAGGTAAAGAAAATATATGACAGCTCATTAATCAATTAGGTCTTCAGAACTCAAAATATATTGATTAATAGAACCTGGGAGGCTCTGTTATGATTAGGGAGAAAAGGAAAAAATGAAGAATTGGCTCAGGACACTTAGTGGTCAACCCTAAAACACTTGAGATGGTTATGTCCTGCAAACCTGGTAAGTTTCATTCATTGCTGCCTATGTGTCAATATTCTTCTGAGAAACACATTAGAATTACATCAGAAGAATTCATAGATTTATTAACCTGAAGTATGCAAAGGCACATGATATCTTCACAGATAACAGGATAAGAGGACAAGATTTATAATCGTATTCTATAGGACTAGCAGACATGAGGTCTTACATTAAACATATAAACAAAACTAGATAGCCACAACTTAAAAGATCAAAAACCATGAATACCTTCAAACATCCAGACAAAAAAATAGATAAATCAATTATAGAAAGGCACAAAGTCTTCCTTTAAGAGACTCCAGTTGAACATGAAATAATTCCAAATTTATCAAATGAATTTACATGAAATTAAGTAGTTTCTGTATACCAAGGAAAACAATCTCCAGAGTTCATAGACCTTATTCAGAAGACGGAAAATTGCTTCCAACTATGTATCAAATAGGAGATTAACCAAACACATTAAGAAATATAAAATGAATTTAGTTGCCCCAATCAAATAACCCAATGGAAAAGATAAATAGGCTAAATACAGATGGTCAATAAATACTTGAATAAATACTCAGAATCCTAAGAATCAATGAAATGCAATTAAAGTTGCTTTGCAATTCCATCTCAACCATTAGCATGTCTATCTTCATGAAAATAAATGATAATAGATGCTGTTGAAAACTGAAGATCAACGGGAATTTTTACTTTCTGTCAGTGGGATGTAAAGTGGGAACCCCAGGGAGAATGTTCCTTCAGAGCATTATAAACATACAATCTTGCCAAACCACCATTCAGTGTAAAACTGAAGATCTCTAAATAAACAAGCAACAAATATTGTCGCCTATTCACATTTATTAAAACACTTGCTAGTCTCTATGTGTATGTATGAATAAAAATGTGACAATATACACTTTTAAGCAGTCAAAAAATAATAGAATAGTCAAACTTTCAGTAAACTGTGTGCAACTGTAGATTATGCTGAGCAAAATGAACCAGATCCAGGAAAGCATTTACCATGTATTTTCTCTCTAGTATAGATTTGTCTGCCTTTAAGTTTATATGTGAGTTAAATCAGAGAATGTTAATTGGATATATGATGTGAAAACATAAGAGCAATTTAGGAGAGGATGGAGTCTCACAAAAGGGCTTCAAGGGGAGGAAGGACAAGTGTAAAAGAGAAGGATGAAGAAGACTAATACACAATAACATATATTTGTTAAAATGCCCTAATGAAGCCATTATTTGTGTGCCAATTAAACAATGAATTTTAGGTATAGCATAATTGATACATATACAAGCTCACAGAGGCAATGAACAAGTACTGGCCTTATGGGGTCCCAGCACTTAGAAGAGGATATAGAAATAGAGAACCAATCCCAGACAAGAAGCTACATGCAATTCATATTCATTGGTAAAGAGAAGATAACTTTTCTTCAATAGAGTGTCATATCAACCACATTGCAAACAGGCACCTTGGCCATGAATTGCCAAACACCAGATGAGCTTTGTGAGTCTCTTGTGAAAATCTTGTTTTGCTTTGTTTTGGAGTTTTTTATCTTACTGATCAAGCAGATAGGTCCTTTCTACCAGAGATTTTTTTGTCAAAGAACTAAGAAATAGGACAATGGCATCATCTCTTTTCCTAAATCAGGACAAATGAATGGCTCGAAAATGAAATGGAACCAGTAGCCTATCAACCTAAGTGGTCTATTTAATTTGACATTCCATCAAAGCTTCAATATGTTATGAAGAAACACAGAGAATACCACAGAGAGCAAAGAAAGAGACTTTGAATTTCAAAGCCTTATTGTGGACAATAGTGATGACTTCTAGGGACATTGAGCCATGCAGGTTCAACTTTCTGGGATGTTTGCTCACACAGACAGTAAACAAAGGAAATGGAGGGTGGAGGTAAGAACATGAAGAGTTTCATAAGGAAATCGTCATACTTGACAAGTTGTAAATGTGCCTCAATTTTGTCTTCCATGATATATTTCCTACATGTTTATTTACCTGAATTGGTTCATATGAGATTTATTGTCTAATAATGTTAACATGGCAACTTTAGGAAACAAAAGCACTGAATTCCCATCA